CGAGGATTGGCTTTTCATATGACTTCCTTCTCCTTAGTTTAAAATACGAATTATTACATAGATACACGTATCTATTTTACTTCAAATTCGTGTGTGTGTATGTGTGTGTTTTATTGTTGCCGTTTGTGGCTTATCCCATCCGATTGGCAGCAACAAAAAATCAGGTCAATGATATTAGAGCAAGCCCACGAAATTCATCGTGGCTAAGGGTAAAGATTGCGCCTATCGTTGGCCTTGGTCCATAGCGCTGCTGTATGCTGAGTTTTTACCTCAAGCGAGGATAGCTTAGTTTTATTCAACAAAGAAGTTTTTCCGTTTAATGAATAAGGTTCCATTATGTTAATATAACCAGTTATTATAATTTAGATCTTTACTGCCCCTTCTCCTTCCTTAAAATCTTTCTGCCTCTCGAGGCCACTTTGTAGAGACATTAGGTAATTTTTGGAAGCAGAAGAGATGACAAATTAGCAACGCTTTTACCGGGAATCGAACCACGGACCTCTGAAATACCGACTCAGTGTGCTGACACTACACCTCGAAGGCACGCTAGGAAGGCGGGAGAAATACCTTATATACTCCCCCTTTTAAAGGGCGACTTGGGTTTTTAGGGGACCCAATCGCCAAATCCTGGGTTGTGGAGAGTCATCATTCACAACCCTTTTAGTTCGGGCCTTTGCATTATGATTGCTGACATTTGAATTGTTACGCCGGTGAGAAGTTTGAGCCAACTTCGCATTAAATTAATTGTGTAATCCTTGCTTACTAGATGGCTACTACTGCTGTAAGTCTTGAAATTAACTGTTGGTTTAAGTTACATCGCCACAAATGGTTGGCTGATTTTGTCAAGTACGAGACGTGCATTTATTTTCCATTTCTAATTTACTAAAAAGGTTTATTAAACCTTCTTAAGACTTTACAGTCCTTTTCAGAGACACCGATAATTCGCTCTATGTATGCACGGAGTTTGGATTTAGTTTCATATACCAAGGAACACCAAACTGTATAAATGTGTGCCTGTGTTTTGAAGGATTTTTATTTTGTGCGTTAAACACAATTCTGTGACTTTAGTCCAAAAAATTGCAATGAGTAAAATTTTGTTGCGATTGCAAAGTAAATCTTAGCAACTACAGTACATACGGCGTAAAGTTCAAACTAAATCATCTTTCGAATGAATGAATTTTAATGTTTTATATCCATGAAGTTTGTTATATTAAATGTATCACGAATGTTAAATGTTTCTTGATATATTGTAGATTTGAAATAAAATATAGCATAATTATTTAAAAGTTAGGCTCTCAAGCCAACATAATAGGCATTTTTATAGAGTTAAATGTGTGTGTGTGTGTGATTATGGCAAAGCCTCGAGGGCTATCTGCCTAAGGGAAGGGATGCCTTCGTGGAGGACTTTCTAAGGGAAACTGGCTCGTATACACGTTACACATGGGAAGAAAACCACGAAAACGCCCATGCAGCCAGCCCGTTCGCGGGATTCGAACTCGGACCGAACTACCAGTGTTTAGCGACTTTACCGCTCGGCCGCTGGTGGGCCCCTATAGAGTTAAATGAAAATTAAACTTGGGTTATAATTAGGTATAAGTTCTTGAAAGAGGCTGTCTTTGATGTCTAGTGTGTCTAAGCCAAGGGTTTCTAAACTTTTTGTCCCTAAAAGCACAGTCTAGAATATCTGTCGGACGGCAGGCACCATTTACTTTTTCAAGGTGAATTTATAGTTGAATACTGTTAATGATACATGCACATAAAGAAAGAGATCGATCGCATTTCGCTTTGTGCTGGTATCCGTGTTGGACGTAATTTCTATTTCATTAAAAATGAGAAAACTTTCACATAGAATTTTATTGGAAACTAAAACATTTTTACTGTGATCGCACAGCGTCGGGCACACGTTAAACGATCAGCGGGCGCCATGGTGCCCGCGGGCATAGGGTTGGAAAACCCTATTACCAATAAAAAAAAATGATTTAGTAGGAAGTTATTGAAACTCTGCATAACTTACACAAACGTTCACGCATTGCATTGCTGGAGAGCAGGGGAAAGAATATTGAATTTAGCGAAATCACAAGTGTTAAACGTTTTGTGAAATTATGAATGGTAAGCTGAAAAGTGTAACATTTTAATATTTCTATGGCTAAACTATTTTTACCAAAAGATGTTTTTGTAACAACATGGATTTAGATTTAAACATTTAGATAATTGTAAAGTTTAATTCATGTTATTAGATACAGAATTTAAAAGCTTTTAGCCAGTGTCGTTAAAAACCTTCGCTGCGATTACCTAAATTCTGGTGGGGAAAACGGTATGCTAGTTAACCAGTTATTATGATTATTTAAGCTGAGGGTTTGGATCTGAGTGAGAGTTTACGACAGTCGAGACGCACTGGTAGATTTTGCCAGTTCTATCTAAATGTAATTACTATGTAGAGACATTAGGTATTTTTTGAAAGCAAGAGAGTTGAAAAATTAACACCGGACTCTCCCCGGACTCGAACCACAGACCTCTCGAATACGCGCCGAGCGTGCTGACCACTACATGAAGGCATGCTAAGAAGGCGAGAGAAATACCTTATATACTCCCCCTTTTAAAGGGCGACTGGGGATTAGGGGATCCAATCGCAAAATCCGGGTGGTAGAGAATCATCATCCACCACCTTTTTAGTTTGAGCGCCACTGTAGAGACATTAGGTTATTTAGAAGCAGGAGAGTTGAAAAATGAGCAATGTCCTCGCTGGGACTCGAACCACGGACCTCTCAAATACACGCCGAGTATGCTGATCGCTACACCAGGAAGGTATTCTAAGAAGGCGGAAGAAATACTTTATAACTATATCGCGTCTTCATTCTCTCGCAGCCGATTGCTTTAGAACTTACGAAGCGGTAATTTAGTTGAGCCAGCTCATAGCTTATTTATTTGACTGTGCATTCTTAGACTACTTTCATTAAAGTTTATATTTAAGAATCTGTTATTGATTAAATTACCTTACCACAAGTAGCTGTTTATTTGTAGTACGAGACGTGCCTTTTATGTTTAAATTTTAGTTTAATAAAAAGTTTGTTTAAACTTTCGCAAGTCTTTGAAAGTTTATTTGCAGACTTATGGATTAATCGCTGTTTGTCTAATAGGGTTTAGGACACATTCAAGTATCAATTCAACTTTATAATGTACAGAATAAAGAAATTTTTATTCATATGCAATGTCAACAATTACATAAAAAGGGCGAAAATCTCCAGTTTACTTCAAAAGTTTCTTTCCATTGAAAATCTGTTTCAGTGGTATGGTACTTTAAACAAATCCGATGTATACACCACATGACTTCCTTGTACGGAATATTAAATTATACGCAATTTTCCTGCATTTCATTTAAACATATTGAATTAACAGTTAGCGCATGCAATTAAATTTACAATTTCTACACAAAAACAAGCTAATAACTTAAATGATAATTCCACACTTAATAAAGCATAATTTAATTCGCAGTAATAAAAGAAGACGTTACTTTGTCGTTGCGAAGCTTAGTTTCTCTAGATTGGCAACAAATCCACTACTCTGCTAAGTTTCAAATGTAAACAAATTAAAAAATTAGGCTTAGCCACACTTAAAAAACTTTTAATTTGTTGATAATGCCAAAATTATTGCATGCAGGTTAACTAAAGGCATAAAAATCTTAACCAGAATAACACAATTCAATCATTTTTAAAGCAAAAAATGCACAATTTACAAATATATAAGAATAAAGAAACTGAGCTCAGTGAGCCGAGTGGATATGCTCATATATATCCACTCTGTTAAATACAAATTTCAAAGTCCTGAGGCTAATCGCTTTTGAGTTATGCGACATACGTACGTACGTACGCACAGACGCCACGAAAAATTCTCTTCAGCATTTATTTAAGATCAATTTAAATTTTTTTTTGGGGGGGAGAGTCCTTTATTCTGTGCTTACGGACAGATGTCAAGCAAGCGGTCAAAATGAATATTTTCATTAAAATATGATACTTGAAATCTTTCGCGATTACAATACTTCCTTTTTACTTCGTACAAGGAAGTAATAATATTAATAGAATTTGTGGCTCATGATTTTTCCTAAATTCTATCGTAGAATATACCTTATTCTTATACCTTATTCTATCGTAGAATTCGTATTGTCGTGAAGTTTCGTCTCCCCTGGGATATAAGAACGTTTAGTCTTGTAACTTTCATACGCCATTCAGTCAAAATATCTTAAAATGGGTTTCGTTTATAAAAGATCACATATTTAATGTAAAAGTTGTTGAACAAAACTATTTTAAGTATGTGTTGTGTAAATAGTTCACGTTTCACACTATTTTGTTAATTGTTGTAACAAATTTTACTGCAATACTTAACATTAAAAATAACGTAGGGAATCTGACGTCCTCTGTTCAAGGTCTTGAATTTTTCCTTTTACAAAATGTTTTAGTTTGCATGGCGGTGCAATAAATTGTTTCGAATGTTTATTCAGCTGCATCACCATAAAAATAAGTTAAATGTTTCCTGCTCACTTTTTTCAATGCTGAATTAGTGTATAACTAAATTATAGGTGACTTTTTGACTTTTCCTGTAAACTGAATTTTTCAACATCTTTCACTAACAATACAAAGAATTAAGTTGATAGGAAAAAAATTTGCTCTATGTCAAAAACTTTCTCATCTTTCGTATCTTCTCCCTACTTGAAACAGGAAAATAAATAACACGTTAAAAAAGAATTGAAGCAAAACGTTTACACGAAGGCTGAAATTTTTCATTAACCTGAGGATATTCCGCATCGTGATCTACTATAGGCATCCTGATTTATGATGTATTGTATACGTAACACGACAGTATGCTTCAGGCATTTTCCTACGACGTTATTGTTAGTCAATGTCAATATCATCACGCAATGGCGTGTTTCGGAAAACTAAAAAAGTCATTAATAAACATCTGTACAGCTTATTTATAACAGCATATATACTGGAAGTTCTAAACTCTCACAGCATTTCATTAGGCTTCTGTAAAATTTCGACTTTTGCCGCCCAAAGATGTATTTTTACTTAGTACTCGGTTTTACCGTAGCAGTAATGCAGTTAGCAGTCGCAGAAGATAGTTCGGAAGAGTTAACGCCAGAGAAAATGGAAGCTGTAAAAATTCTGCTTTGTAGTAAGTATAATTTCTTTATTTGCTTAAATTTGAGCTTCGTTGTTATCATTCTGCTTTTGATTTGTAGTGTGTGACTGTAGAAGAATGTAATTTAATATAATGCGCTTGCTAATAGTTGGCTCTCTACATTAGCAAAGAAGCGTTCACCAAAGATTAACTATCTTAAAATTAAATAATTCGTCAGCATTGAAAATAAAATAAAACTATGGTTTAACTTCGTATTTACTCATTCATTAATCTATTGTCTGCGGTATGATATGAAGACACGAGCTGAATTTCTTCGAGGAATTATTAATAGTTTTCGCTGTTGGATGACAATTTTAGGAAACGACCGTGTTCAAAAAATAGTTATGTTGTCATTTGCCTCCAGCTTATGTTTCTTGAAATTTTCTGTTGGTTGTCCCCGGCCTACTGAAACATTGAATTTATGAATACTGATTAACAATTCCCAGAATGTATACTGAATAACAATTCCTAGAATGGATTTTTAATTATGGAGGAGTATGAGCACCATAATGTATAGGCTGTGGATTCATGATTTATGATGAACTGATAATGTGAATGAAGGTGTTTTCAAGAAAAATTGATATTTATGATTGTTAGTATAAAAAAATTTAACGTCTTGACTTTCTTCATTTCTAGTAGGAATAAATAAATTAGTCTGGCAATTCAGTTGTGAATATTAAATCATTTTAGGCGTCAATGACAACTATTACATGACCTGGCATAGACATGGTTATCTATCGTATATGTATTGATATATGTCATCCCCTCATGCATGCTTCGATGCAATGGGGAAATTCATTTTATTTAGCAGGAATCGCATCTTTTGCCCTAGTCGCCATCCAGTCATGGACCAGATGTCTTCTTTTGCGATAAATTCGAAATCTAAGCAAGCCATTATAGTTATCCAAATATTATTACAGAGGATAATTATCCAAATAATATTGAACGTCGTCCCTATTGTTGTTGTTCATTATCCGATTAGTAGATTTTTCCTGAAATGAAGATCAAGTATCATTTCAGGCTTGTAGGGGTTTCATGACTGTTTATTATAGACTTGTGTTTAGCATTTCATTGTGGATTCACTCATCGTGAATATGCATACAAAGCAAGGGTACCACTGAAACGATAATGCAAGGATAGCTACCCACAGTATGTGATGTTTTTGTTACCACTGCGAACGCATATGCCGCAATGCGAATTAATTGTACCCGAAGTAAAGGAGACTAACAAAGATACTTCGCTAGTAAGCAGACGTTTTACTGCTGAATGTTCGATAATTTTGTTTTTCAAAAGACTGTAACTTTTGAGCTAAAGTATTTGGCGTGGCTGTCGATCACTCACAGTCATATGAATAGAAATCTATTCTCTCGTCTGTCTGAATAGCAATCCTTTTAGTCAATGGTTTGAAACCTGCTATAAAGCAGAAAGTTTATTCTTACTACTGTGAGCTGATTTCGCTGAATAGGCGCACAAATATCTTTATTGAAAATTCAATCTTCTTTTAATCTCCAAATCCTTCCTCAGGAAAGGTTTGAAAACTTGTCATCAGTGTTGCTTTCCTCTTCGTGGGAGATATTTTTCAAAGAGCGCTCATTTTACCACTTATTTATATATCGGGTTGTTCGCTAACCATTTACTTGTTCTCCAATAGCATACATATGGTGAAAATTTGGACTAATTATTTCTGCTCATAGAAAGCAAAACTAAAGCTGTTGTGGGAGAAAGCAGGCTATTAAATTGCAATTGCATCATTCAAACTTGGCTTCAATAATAAGAAAACTACTAAGCAAATTAAAACTGTTGAGAAAATAAATTAGCTTTAAATTCTTTTAAACATTTTATTCTAGAGAGCTCGTTAATGTATTTTCTCCCTCCTTCTAGCATGCCTTCTCGATATAACAGTAGCAACGAGGCACGTATTTGAGAGGTCCAGGCTCAAGTCCCGGTGAGGGCATTGCTTATTTTTCATGTCTCCTGCTTCAAAATAACCCAATGACTCTACAGTATTGACTATTTAGCGTACTACACACTAGCGTATTTAGCGTTTAACACAGTTGCAAATATTCTTAAAGAACTAGAATATTTCTAAGCGCGTGGCGCGGTACAGAATGCTTATATGCACCCGGTCTCTTGTAAGGCGTACTTCTCTTGAACGCAGCCCTGCACCCTAACTGACATGCTTTGATTTTGCATGTCAGTTACATGCTTTGATTTAGAGCATGCTTTGATTTATGACAGTGCTGTTATGGTCCAAGAAAGTAACCAATCTTGGCGTTATTCTAGACCAAAGACTAACATGGAAGCCCGACTTTACACACATAATTTCTAAGTTCCGGAAGTGCAAAGCTACTCTTCACCTCTTAATTTGCCGGAACTCTGTTACAAAAATTAGTCCTTTATAAGGCCATGTTTTGCTTCCTGTTATTATTTATGCTCGTCCCGTCTGGGGTTTTGTATGTCAAACCACGTTTAATCGACTGCAAGTCAGTCAAAATGTTACTCTCCGACAAACTGCAAGAGCACGCTGGTTTTACTGAAATGTGAAAATTCACGAAAAGCTTGCCATTAAACTAGTTGCAAATTATACAGCGAAAATCACCCAAAAATTCTTTAACAAATTTTCCAGTGTTAACAATCCTTCTATTCCACCGCTAAATTATGACCCACATCAGATGAATAAAAGAAGACGGCCTGCTGCTGTTCTTAGAAATTTAGGATGGTTCTGTTACATATTGTTGCGTGCGTATGGGTTCGTAATGGATTGAATGCTTAAGTCTGATAATAAGTAAATAAAACTTATTATTATCAAAAGAAATATATCAGAACACTTGAATTTTTCCTCAGAGATATGATATTCGTATAAGTGTTCACAATATCACGCAGTATAATCAGTAATTATAGTTCAAACTACTAAAACAGTCAAAATGCAACGCAATGCAAAGCGTTATCTAAAACGAAAGCTCATTCAAATATTTCAATTCACGCGGAACTAAACAAATCGCAACAGCAATCACTAAACAACTAACTGAGACGCTCTTTCTTCGGCCTTAAATTACTTTCAACCGACCTCGCGAGATCTTTCTAGTAATTTCTGCTTCTCGAGATTTCTGGAAAGCGAAAAGAGTGTGGAATTACGGTTACAGCTAACATAGTGGTCAATTACATTTATTCAATTTCAATACAAATTAGCGAGATATCCATTTACTCAACGTCAAATGCTCCTATATTTTTACTTTTACGGCATAGCTTTATCTTAAAATTTGTCTTGGCCGGCATTGCACGGGGAAATACAACAATTTCAATTATAATTTAACTAAAATTAGCTATTTAGATGCAAATTTCTTAACAATGCTACATTGAAATGTTTTGTTTCTTATTTCCCATGATCAGTGCTTTTTCAATTGTATATTTAATTTTATTTTTATTTGTCACCTGTTCCACTTGTATCTGTATGTATATATGCAGCCATCTACCAGCTGCTCTGCCTTCTAATTGTTTGTTATTTTGTATACTGTTATCATTTTATTTAAGACAAAGCCGTAATTTTCTGATGCTCTGCTTTCTTTCAGCCAATAGCTAGGCTTCCATTATATAATAGTTAAGCTTCCTGTGAGACTACTCAGTTTGGGATAGGGCTTTGGCCCGGGAACCCATGCCTCATTGGCCTCCGGCCATCTAAGAATAGAGAGTATTGGATCCCGCCCCAGTCCAACCACAAATGAGGCCATCTAGTAACACAGCTGCATCCATTATGCATCCCGATCAAAGTAAGATTAACTCACACCTGGAAAACCAGATACCGAATTCCGACTATCAAAAAAAGAGTTAGTATAAAGAAACTAATAAAAGTCAATAAAACCTATTCAGCCTGAAGCATGCAAACTATATATTTTTACCGAACAAATGTTGAAGTGGACGGCTCAAAAGGAAAGAAAGAAGAACGTAAAATTAGTAAATAAGGCGAATGTTGAGTTAAACAAATTATAAATTTAAATATGGTAGAAAAACACATATATAATTTTACACACACAGACAAAAAGTACTCGTACATCACAATTAAAGATCTCAAACACTTATTTCCACAGCACGACAATCAGTGTTGATTGATTTAACTATTGGTTTAAATAAAAGATTAAAATTCTTAAAATTAGCAAAGTTCTAAAATCATCGCAGAAATCAGTTATAAAAATTAATTTAAAATCATCGAATAGTCAACAGTTTTCGAGGAAGTGCTAGGCATCTTCCACGAGAGACGTTCACTCTTGACATTTGGTACTTTATTCATGCCGCATTGTTGACGGATAGTTTTCAGCAACGACAAAAACATATACCGGGCGGTTATAATTAAACTTTCCCTATAAACGGCATCCTACAGTGCAAAGGGGTGAACGGAATGCAACGAAATTTTGTATATGGGATATACACGAAATGCGCTCACGGAATTTCGAAAAACAATTTTTTAGTTCCAAAATGCCCACCAGAGAGCACTTTTTCGGAAACAACATGAAATTTAACACAATAAACGACAAAACTGGATTACAGAAACAATATTAACAATACAGAACAAGAATTATGAGTAATAAAATGCAAAATCTGAAAAAGCTGTCATTTGTAAGAGAAAAATGTCGAGGATCGCATGCTTGGAAAGAAGAGGAAGCTTTATGCGAAACAAGTTAGGGTATAAAACGTTTGCAGACGGTGTGATGTTTAAGTCGATGTTTCGACTGTACTTATGACTGTCTCTTTAGTTGAACGTGCATTATTCGTGAGGCTGTTTCACGAAAACAAGCGGAATGCTTCTGCTGCAGTTCGTGAATTTCGTCGTAGAAAGAACCTACGGCGTGGACCAATGTCTACTAAAGGTATTCGGGCCATGATTAAGAGATTTAAAGAGACGGAAAAATTAGGAGTTCAACCTGGAAGAGGCCGTAAACGTCTTACACAGGGACTTGTTGATGCCGTCACGACATCTGTTGACGCACTGTCACAGACATCAGAGTTTTGGATCAGTAGCGCGCGTGCAGTTTCTCGACAGACAGGCTATTCTTACAGCACTGTCCGAAAAGTATTCAGAAACAGTTTCCGTACAACATCCGCCATCCCAGGAGCTGCTTGATAGGGACAACCCACAACGTCTCTTATTCGCAGTCAGTTTTCTCAACAGAATGCTTGTTTATCTGTCATGGCCTTGGAATATTCTGTGGAGCGACGAGGCTCATTTCTACCTCAATGGGACAGTCAACACACAGAATTGCCGCATTTGGGCTATGGAAAATACTCGGATCTATACTGAAATTCATCTACAGTGTCCAAAGGTCACTGTTTGAAGTGGATTCACGGCGACATTCATCCTTGGGCCATTCTTCTTTGAGGGAGTCGGTTAATGTGGGTCTGTTACATGTTCCGTTACGGGCCGTCGAATTCATGACATACTGCAGACGATTGTTATGCCGCAAATACAGCAAAACCGGGTCCTTTACATCAAACCATTTTCATGCAGAATGGTGCGCTTCCACAAATTAGCCCTCTAGTGGACATTTTGGAACTAAAAATGTTTTTCGAAATTCCGTGAGCGCATCTCGTGTATAGCCCATATACAAAATTTCGTTGCATTCCGTTCACCCGTTTGCGCTGTAGATATCGTACATAGAGAAAGTTTAATTATAACCACCTGCTATATAATTTTTTCCGTCTTAAAATTTTTCAAAGAAATAATTAGTGGACGTCGTGCTATCCGTGTTTCCATCTTCATCATATTCTGGATTTGGGAGTTTAATAACTATTTTTCGTGGTAGACATGAAGCTGAAAGTTTCATAAAAAACTCTCTTTATAATGACATACTACTAGTACTAATATTACTAGCGATATTTGTTAGATCTTTTTTCCCCTCCCTATTTTATAGATAAGGATTTCAAGGAACAGGGTGATGAATTGGAATCTTGTATGAGTATGACAGATGGCAATGACAGGGTAAGTGCAGAAAGATTATGTTTTCAAAATTGTAATTGCAAATAATCGTATGAGCTTACTTCATACTTTATTCAAATGTCGTAATGGTAATATTAAAATCTTTTTTTAATCATTTTAATGAACAAAATAGTCTAATGCCTGAAAAGAAAATATAATTTTGCTTTTAAAAATTCCATTTTCTTAAAGCAAATTAAATTTGTGTAAAAGAAGAAGTTTCCAGAAAAGTATTTGGAAAATAAAAAATATGCTAATTATATTTGTTTTATATTAAAATTTTTTGGAAGTTACTTAAATTTTTTTTTATATTATGTTTCTCAAATTACCGGTTTTAATTCACAACATTTCTCAACAAGTAGCTTAAAATGTATTGAATTACGAATAGTTAAATAAATAATACTTCACAATTGCTTTCCAGACTTTTAATTCGTTTACAGATCGTAGGTACTCAACTGTTTTAAAAGCTTTAATAATATTTTGAGAGAGTAGAATAAGGAACGAAGCAAATTCCAAATTGACTTCGTTACGATTATAAATGCCTATTCTAATTTTCAAGATAACGCTGTATCATGTAAACTGTATTTTGTACATGTAAACTGTGTAGAGCCTAGTTATGGCAAGTAGACAAATTTTAAACAAATTAAGTATGTTGAAAGCAAGTACAGGAAAAAAGTAAAGGATTCTTATTTTAAAAACATTTATTCTTCAAGAAAATGCTAAAACAACATATAGCAGAACTATACGTCATTATTACGTTAAATAAAATGTCACTTTTAAATTCATATTATATTTTAGGAAAGAAATCTAGAAAGGGTATTGAAACAAGAGCGTTCAGAGGCATGCTTAAGTTAAAATTCGAACGTTAATTTGTCAGATCTACTTTTAATTTATTTATCTCCACTTTATGTCCTTTTAATAATATGCTTGTAATAAATCTTTGTGAAGCGTATCATTTCAGAATTACTCATATGATTTTTATATCACGCTAATGACGTATGTTCTCACATAATGGTAAAAGTGAAAGTGAAATACTTTATCCAACTAGAATTAAATCGAATTTTATAACTCAGTAGCAATAAAGCTATAGCATATTCCTCTGTTGAGAAATAAGCTAACATCATCATCCTTAATTTAATATAAATAGCATTATCTTTGCTCTTTTCATGATTATCTCTCTATTTGTAACAAAAAGTTTGCAACTTTTTTTAATTAGATTTTAATTAAATTACTTATGGTATAAATCGCTGTGGTCAGAAGTTTGTCATCGATTTTTAAACTATTTCATGATAAGCTATCGGGTTCAAATTTTGTGTATACATTGTTTCTGGATGACAATGCGATGTGGCGAAACTACCCTTTCAAAATTTAGTTTAGTTTTCTTTTTAAAAGTTCAATGTTAAAACGATTTATGGCATACGTCTTCGCTTTATAAACGAACTAAAAATCGCAGAATGCATCACAGAAAAGATAACATTCCTTTCCAATTCGAACATTAAACAATCGTTTTAATGAAATCTGTATGAAATTTTTAACCTACATTCTGAATTTTTGCCGAATTCTCGAAAACCATTCGATTTTTTCCCGACTATTCGACAACAATTAATTAATTCCGACACCCTTTTTAAAAAATGTATCAAAGCCCACGAGTTCAAGGAGCTTGCAACTCTGCGAAAGTGAGTGCCAGATCAGCCGCACGATCATATGACTGTGGGATTATATTTGATTGAAAATTCTACCGCGTGCTCCTAGAACGAGAAATTGAAAAACCAGAAATATGCAGATCACAATACCTAACAATTTAAAACTTTACGGATTAATTATGATCGATTCGGTATCACATATTCTAATATAAAACAATAATTTTCAGAAATGAACATGGTTATGAATCTATTATTTATATCAGTTTCAGATGACAGTTTTTAAGGCATCTTTCTGATTTTAAGGGTCTTGCCCAATAGTTCTTATTCTCAGACTTAAAATACATCGGATCAGTATTATATACTGAGAAAAAATGTTGGTGTTGAAACAGCTTTATCCGATAATATTCATATCACAAAATAATGTTTTATTCTTCACATAATTCAATTTTTTTTTTTGTGTGTGTGTGTGTGTGTGTAAAGAACTGTAAAGAGAATTAATTTCTTCTCTAATACACAGTGTTAGACAATAAAATGTTTTACAATATACTCCTTCTAAAATTGGCAGCACCTATTTAAAACGCATTTTATTGCAAATAGTAGGCAACAAAATATTTTTCGATCGAAACTAAATTTTGAAGAGAAATAAACATAAAAAAACATAAAGATATTTATTTTAATTTAGAGTAAGGAATAACTGCAAGTTCATGTAAATTTTATTACCTATCTCATTATATTACTAGAGAAGGTAAATTTCATTATCTCACTTGTTACCTTCTCAGAAATGAAATAAGATCTTCCATATGGATATCAATATTCAGTTCGAAAAAGACGGAATTTCATCGGGAACAAGAAAAGTGAATTAAGATTTTTTTATTGTTTTTCTCAAAATATTCAATACTTAAAAATAGGGAGTTAATGCTTTCAAGAAATTATAACAACAAAATATATGTGTAATGGTTCGATTCTAATCATTAATATGAATTCTGAACTAACCGGAGTAATACATAACGACGTCCGCAGTTAATTCAAAATCACGGTTGAATCGACAGGAATGCTAATAACTCATATCAAAGTAAACAAAAAAATTTTATTAAAACTGTATCTGTATTTTAAGCATTTTAATTTGGAGGATAAGTTAATTTCTTTATATAATAAATCAGCATTTAAAACAAGAATATGCTACTAAATAGAAGGAATAATGTGTAGGATATTATTCTGTGTAATACTAATTTAAAGTTCTGTAATCTCTATAGACCGATAAGCGAATTATTGCTCTATTTGTGAAAATATTACAAAGTCTTACGAAAGTTCGAAAAGACTTTTTTTATTTAAGTTCGAACTTAAAACAAAAGACACAACTTGTGCGTACAAATTAAACTCCGGTACTTGCCGGTATTAAGTAACAGAAAATTGAATTTATAAATTAAAGTGGATTATTAAAGCTAGTTTATAAATTAAAGTGGGCCAGACTACAATAACTGTCTAACTAAGCATTGACTCCAACTTTAAATTGCGGTGTTTAACTTCAGCTAGCAAAATGGTTAAAGCCGGAATACTAACTGCGAGTAGAGCTGGGTAAGAAAGAATCTTGTACAAATTATGAGCGTCACTGCCAAAAGCCTTAAAATTTTCAAGAAATACGCTTAATCATTACGCCTAACTAAGAATTAATCTTAAATACGCTAAATCATTTGCATCCTGAGAGTACAGATCCAAATCATAAAACAGAGGATTATTTAAACGTAAAATCTTTCAATTGTTTTTGTAAGTTCTTGCATTTCGTTATGTCAATGATTAATAAAAGATTATAACCGTGAAATTAGTTTATTTTTATGATTTAACAATTTTTATATATTCCAGATAATGTTCAACCAAATTACGTACTGTTGCGGATAAAGTAATTATTAAATGCTGTGACATCATTTGTTATCATTGCTGTTACCCTATTATTCTTCTTGTTTTTGTATTACCGTAGAATTTGTATTGGTTTGTTGCAATACAAAATTTTCCATCGATCTGCAATAAATAAAATTAACCTTTTACACCAGACCTGTTTGTTATCCGCAACCCGATTAATTCGCCCAATCGAGAAATGACTGTATTAGAAAATTTTATAAAATCATAAACTTTTTCAGGTATTTTCAAAAACTGCAAAGAGCTTTTATTGAAATAAATACTGTACAGGTAGACACAAACCTTTAACTGAAAATAGGAGCCTTTATTTTCACAACCATTGGTCGTAGACATATACCGTATTTGACGGCATATAAGACGCACCCTTATTTAGACGGCCACACACAAGGAAAAAAGTTTCAATAGCGTGGTTTCTTTTAGTTCTCACGTTTCGTAAAAGGCAAATAAACAATTATTGAATGCAATTACCTTCACGTATAAGACGCAAGTAACTTTTTTGAGACCAAATTTAGGAAAAAAGTGCGTCTTATATGCCGTCAAATACGGTACTTCCGATCATAAAGGTGTTTTAAATGGCACAAACGTCCATGTTTTGCTGTTTTAAAATTTAAACGATCAATTTAGTAAAAATTACTTAATATAACTTTGCTTACTCTCCCTCTAATTTCTATAGCTATATTTAGTAAAAGATTATATTCATTCTAAAAATTAAAATACCAAAATTGATAGGCAGCCTGTCGCAAAGCAAACTGATCAACAAATATTTTTTTTTTTTCAAAAGGAAATATTATTCATGCAATCTCAAAGCATTTCATTTACAGAAAACTGTGGCAGGCTTCGGTATTGGTACATAACCGATTCGTACCATTATTTGCATAAATTTCGAAAAAACTATTTCTGGTTTAATGGTTTTCTACGGGATTATTAGATTACAATTTTAAAATAATAAAGTTTATGACACTATTAATGACGTATTTTTGTCATTTTCTTTTCAGATTTTATTTAATTTATATTATTTTGTAAACATATAAATTACTTGTGTAAAAATGCTTTATGTAGACCAAATGTTACAGAATTATAAATTAAAGAATGTTATACACTAGTACATCAAAAAATAATATCATTTAATGATATTTAACAGGAAAAATCAATCTCAAATTATTAGCCCAGAAGGGCTATTAATTTCGTTTTGGCATTTTGCGTTGATTCACTATAAACGGCGAATTACTTTTTAAATTGTCGCCATCCATATTATCGCCCTTTGTTATATTTAATGAAATTAAATAGTGAAGAATCTGCATAAATGTATGTATGTTTCTCACATTGTGATAAAGCAACGGTATCTAGAGCCATCAAATTTTGAATAACGTACGTCTCCACCCGAACATGGGCATCTGAAAGCCCCAATTTGGAATTTGTTTTATTGTCTATTTCATATTTTGTGAAAATTTAACTAATTTTTCATTAACAAATTCAAGGATTTCAAAGCGAGCAATGGCAACACTGTACGAAAAAAAAAAAAAAAAAATATCTCCAGCGCATGAGACTGTGTATCAAAATTCTAAAGATATCCTCTTTTAAATATTTTGTGATATTGCTGTTGAATTGAATTTTAGGGTTTAAGTGCGAAGAACATCATATTTAATAAATAAAGGTAACCCACAAAAGTTAAAAAAACACCTCTTTGGGCGTACTATAAAATCTGAAAGCATTCAGATTTTTTTCTTTTTTTTTTCTTTTTTTTTTCCTGATTTAATTTTAACCAAATCCGAAACTGACGCCCAAAATATCAGTTTTAAAAATTCAATATAAAATGATTTTTAAAATCCAAAAATCACATAAGTATTTGTGTTACTTATTTTTTTTTTTTTCGATCTCAAAGGGACGTTGTAGTCGAGAAGGGCTTTTAGTCTCGAAACGGCATTTTGTGTCGAATCACTAAATGCGTTGAATCACTTTTCAAATTGTTGCCACCAAATACTATCGCCCTGTATTATATTTAAAGAAATTAAATAATAAAGAATCTGCATCAATATTATGTATGTTTTTCGCAATGTGAAAAAACAACGGCATCTAGAGTAATCAAATTTTGAATAACTTAGTGCTCCACCCGAATATGGGCACATATTTTGCATTTCGAATTTGTTTTATTATCTATTTCATATTTTGTAAGACTTTTGCGAATTTTTGATTAACAAACTCAACGATTTAAAAGCGAGAATGGCAACACTGTACGGGAAACAAAAAAAAAAAAAAAAAAAAGTGTTCATCTCCAGCGAGCGATACTGTGTATCGGAAATTCTAAAGATGTGCTCGTTTTAAATTATTTTGTGATATCACTGTTAAATTGAATTTGATGATTTAAGTGCGAAGAACATGATATTTAATAAATAAAAGTAACACACAAAACGTTAAAAAAAGATCCCTTAGGGCGTAATATAAAATCTGAAAACTTTCAAATATTTCTATCTATTTTTTTATAGTATTTAAATTTTCCCTTGAATGATTTTTATTATTACTTTATTTTTTAGCTGAATGAAATTGGTATACAGTGTTTCACTGGTCTCACAAGCTACGACGCTGGTGTATTGAGACAGTTTTTCTGCGATAATGAGCCAGAAGATATAATAAACGTAAGTTAAATTCAGTCATTCTAAAATACATAAAAATTTTCATATTATTTATAGCGTATACAGTTTGAAGTTAAAATAATTATAATATCAGTATATTTATAAATAATCCAACCCATATTTTATTGCATTTACAGTACTCAGAGTAATTAGTAACATTGTACTGTACTTTTGTAGGGTGTGATCTGTATGGCAGAGGCGGTGGAAGAGGCACCTGATGTAAGTTTCTCTTCTGTTTATATTCGAACAATCTGTTAATAAATATAAACAAATTAGTAAAAATATTCTGTTACTCACAATATAATTTGTTTTTTCATTTTCCTTTCCATTTCATTTAGTGATTATATCTCTCTGTCTCTCTCTTAACACATACACACACACATTTATATATATAATATATATATGTATTTCCTTTATTTATGAAATTTCTTTTTTATTTATATTATAATATATATATAATATTTTTTATATATATTATAATGTGAAATTTTGCTTGACTTTTAGAAAAATGAGCTTGAGGAATTTATGCAGCCAAGTGAGGTAAGTCCATTTGTGTTAAAAAAATCATCATTCAGTATCAATGCAAACATTTCCTAAGTGCTTGCACTTTTAAGACATTTTGAAAAGTAAAAAAAAGTTTGGAAACACTTTAGGTCTAAAATGCGTAAAACATAAGATTAGCAAACGGCAAGAGTTTGACAAAGTTATTGGAAGTATTTTAAAAATAATCGAAAACATTGAATTCTGTGTTTAATAAAGATAAATTAACTTTTCAGCTCTCATTCTATTTGTTTTTAAAAAGGATTAAATTAGCTATTAGGTAGTAACAAATATTAATCGTAATGTGCTATCATTCTTATAAAATTCGCTTTAGAACTTCTAAGGCATCTTTTATGAAGACAAACAAAGCAAAAATGAAGGAAAATATATTACATAATTTTGAAAAATAGTGTAGAGAATTTATTACTGTAAAACTTTCGAGCACTTCGTTGTCATACCCATTATATGAAGAAATATATATCCGAACAAGAAACTCTGTGGAAACATTGCTAAATAGAAACATGTTTTTGGAGCCCGCTTCAGAAGTCGCGATCATTGAGCATGGAGGGATATAAGTTTGCTGGCGACTAATTAGTGACAGCCAATTAACTTGCGTATGGAAATCACGTGTCGAAAAAGCAATGACGGCTTCTGAATCAGCGTTTAGCTTACTAAATAACATATGCCTCGAATTGATTGGAGTTTCTACAATTATTTTAATAAATTTAATTTAAGAAGCTACATTTATTTCGAATTGTATGTCCCGATTGATTATAAATGATAGTATATGGTTTTACCTTGATGCAAGTCATTTGTTATTATATTTTATAGAGCGATGTATTTTTTACTTCGTTTGTGAGAATTAACTAAATCTACTAAAATATATATTTCCTGTTTAAGAGAATTACAATATTTTTATATTCTAGGAGATCTTCATACAAGGAAAGCCGAATTCATCCTTTTTTCGCATTTGACCATATTTCCGATTTCCTACTGTTAATGATTTTTCAACTTTTAGCTTAGGTATAGCTATTCGGATCGCTTGAGCATTCGCTAAGGTTCTAAATTTTGCGTGAATCATTCAGGACGCGAGTCTGAATTCAGCTGAGCTATTTTCTGATTTTCCGCTGAAAATCAATGTTTTAATAATTCTGTAATTAACAGAATTATATTAATATAAAAAGTATTAAATTTTTACATCTAAAATGTAATAATTTTACGTTATTATTATGTTTAAATATAATAATTTGTACAATAATTAATTATTTACATAACAATTATTTTTATTAATTGCATAAATATGTATTTACATAACAATTATTTTTTATTAATTATATAAATATAATTATTAGATTTGAATGTTATAAAGTTTCATAAAAATATTATTCGAAAATGTCCTAATATTTTTCTTACCTTGGAATAATTTCTTTCCCCAAAGCGGCTTTAGCTCAGAAGGGCTATATTAGTCTTGAAACGGCATTTTCCGTTTACTCATTAAAAGCGTTGAATCACTTTTCAGATTGTTCTCATCAAATACTATCGCCCTGATTTATATTTGATGATATTAAATGATGAAGAATTTGCATGAATGTATGAATGTTTCTGACATAAAGATATCGAATTTTGAATAATGTAGCTCTCCACCCGTAAACGGGTACCTGACAGACCAAATTTTGAATTTCTATTTTATTTTATTATATATTTTATATTTTGTCAAATTTAATGAATTTTTGATTAAAAAAAACTCAACGATTTCAAAGAAAGCAGGAGCAACACTGTACGGAATAAAACACTTTTATCTCCAGCGCTCAAGACTGCCTATCGAAAATTCTAAGGATATGCTTGGTTTTAAATATTTTAGTCTAAAAGAGTGTTTGCGCAGGTGCTTTCGAAACGTGTATGTATGTTAAATGAAAAAAACGAACATTTGAACGTAATATATAATCTAAAAGCTTTCAGCCTTTTTTTTTTTTTTTTTTTTTTTGCGAATTATGTTAACCTTTATATACCATTCACTGCTATTTCGCGCAACTGAGGTAACATCTCTAAACGCATTCATTTTAATTACCCTACACTGACTACCAATAAGTATTTGGACACCTGTGATAGAAAAGAAAAACTAACTTTATTCAAAATCAATAGTTGGTAGAGCCTCCACGAGAGATAATTACAGCGTGGACCCTCCAGGGCATACTTTCCACAAGTCTTTGTATGACAGCTAGTGGTATTTTCTTCCACTCGGCTTGGAGAAGACATAGAAGTTCCTTCATCAATTTTGCACGGGTTGCTTTGCATCCCTGAATTCGGCGATGCAACTCGTTCCAGAGGTTCTCGATAGGGTTCAGGTCTGGACTCTGGGCAGGCCAGTCCATTCAATGAACTCCTTTGGCACAATACCAAGCCTTGGTTAGCGTCCAAACATGACAACTGGCATTGTCGTCCTGAAAGTAACAGAGGTCCAACCCGTAAACTGCCACAACGTAGGAAGCACATTGTCATCCAAAATAGTGCAGTAGGCATCGGAGTTGAGCTTACCAAGAATGGGGACCAAGGGTCCCAGCCCATACCAGGAGAAACACCCCCAGACCATAATTCCACCTCCGCCGAACTTGACTGTTGGCACAATGCATTCTGGCAGGAGACGTTCTCTAGATAGACGCCAGACCCATACCCTGCCATCCGAACGGTAAAGGGTGAACCTTGATTCGTCACTCCAAAGAACCCGTTTCCACTGATCTACGGTCCAATTTCGATGTGCTTTGCACCACATTAACCGAGCAGCGCGGTTGGACTTTGTGATCAGAGGCTTATGGGCAGCAGCACGACCATGAAAACCAAGCAGATGTGCTTCCTTACGGATGGTATTCATTGAAACAATACTCCCGGATGCCTGTTGAAACTCCTCGCGGATGAGGGCCATCGGTTGGGTGAGGTTCTTCCGAATTTCTCTGGACAGCACTCGTCGGTCTCTATCTCCCAGTTTCGTTGGTCTGCCGACTCGGAGAACATTCCGACAATCACCGCTTACCTTCCACTTCTTAATCACATAGGCCACTGTCGATTTTGGGTACTTCAGATCGCTAGATATGTCCCTTAAGGATCGGCCACATTTGTGATACCCGATAATTATACTTTTCTCGAAATCAGAGAGCTCCGAACTGCGAGGCATCTTGCATGCGACTAAAGCCGATACTGTTTCCTACACGATATATACCGGCGGAGTCCGTGACGTACCTTAGGACCGCAGATATCGTCATTTGTATAGGTGTCCAAATAATTATTGGTAGTCAGTGTAATACCTGCGAATGTGAAGCTTGTTAAGTTTTATTTTGAAGGCTCGAAGAAATTCTGCATTTAACTTATGAGCTCGAGAAAGGATTTTCAGTAGCCAGAAATGGATAATTAAGATTAGAAAAAAATTACTTACAAGCCTTCCGCAATATGTTAAATACCCTTCAGTTAGTTTTTATTATTAGATATATCTAATAATAAAAACTAATTAAAGGGTACTTAACACCTACACTTAGTCATTATTCAGGTTATTGCAGCACATGGGCGAGCCAGCTGTGAGTCGCTTTTTGAATACGAAAGTTTAAGTTCATTTTTCGTTTGCAGTTTTTCCTTTATTTTTGTTCTTTCATGAACTTACTTAAATCCTTTCATATTGTAGGAAAATTTGTCGTAAATGTATTTCATGAAAATCTTTATCTTCTATTATTTTCTCGTAGGACTGTGTGAAAGAACTTATAGAAAAATGGACGTCTGAAGACTAAAGATTCTGAAGAATAAAGAATGCTTACATAATAGTGTCCTTCTTTACTTAAGGCTCAATATCAACATTGACTCCAGTGTTCTGCGACTGGTTAAACCATAGAAAAATGTAATTTGTTATTGTTTTTGTTTAAAAATTATTTAATTGTAATTGAAATTATATAAAATTAAAATTTATTTTGTGTTACTTTGAGACCCATTGACCCATAAGAAATGACTTTTCCACAAAACTGAACATATTCTACCATAAAAAACAACAATGACGTTTAAATATCATACTACATTACTTTTACTTTCATTCTTTTACATTTTTTGGGTTTATATTTAGTGATAATAGTAGGCTCCGAATAATAAAAATGAATCTAAAATTGTGTAGCCAAAGCATCCATGCATATATGGAAGTATTAATTTTTTTTTTTAGAAAGTATCTGTGTTTTAATTCTCTTATGCAATTTTTCCTTTATGCGTATTTTGCATGTTTGGTTTGGCTTGTGTCACTTGATACCAAGGTTAATAATGGTTCGAGTGGAAATTAAGGGCTCTGCAATACGTGCATGATTTAGCCATCTTTCCAAAACCATACTTGGATGAAAACTGTAATCATAATTAGCATCATAATGGAATGCACCAAAATTTGAATTAGCGTGCAATGTTCGTCTGGATCGAGCAGTGCATACTTGGAACGTTTTCCAGTTTTCTCGTTGTTCGTCTGTTTCAGAAGACGCTTACAAACTTCGCCTCTGCTTGGGCGTTAACTGAAAATCAATTAACGAAACTAAAAATTTGAAGATATTAACAAACGATAGAACTAGCCTACAGGGCTAGCGAGATCCCGTAACTTAAACCCGATTCGAAGCTAGTGGCCGCAAATAAATGCAATTAAGCCACTTGATCGAGCAGTAAGCAAACGTACCTAAGACAGAGACGACGGCTAGAGCCTAACTCTCTCTTTCTCCTACCGAAACTACTCGGCTTTTAAATACTTTCTACAACGTAGAAATTTGCATTCCTTCACGCGCGCTACAACATTTAACTATTCTGGAACTGACAGTTAGGGGAATGAAGGCTTAGAGGAAAGTCTGAACTTAAACTTTAAATTGTTAGTTAAAATAAATATAAAATCCCTACAGTGTGTAGATCGAACGATAGATTTTCGTTTTGGTGGCATAACTGATTTCACCGTGAAAGTAATGCTTTGTGATAACTATACTACAAATTCCCTTTCAAAAAGCAAAGATGCGTGTGATGGAATGACACGCATGTTAATGCATGAAAAATTAAATATTTTATGCTTTGCTGAATGATAACATACTTTAAAATATTTTAATTTGGTCGGTGGCAATGTATCTCTATTAACTGGCCGAATTTTTACAATAAATTCGAGACAAATTGATATAAATGACAAGATAATTCTTTTTAATCATCGCCGAGTTTTCTGATTAATGATTTATTTAATTACGACAAAACTCACTAGGTTATCTGCCTAAGTGGAGGGATGCCTTCGTGGAGGACTTTCTAAGTGACACTGACTCGTATACACGTTACACATGGGGAAACCACGAAAACGCCCATGCAACCAGCCCCTTGGGGGGATTCGAACCTCGGACTGAACTACCAGTGTTCAGCGACTTCATCCGCTCGGCCACTGGTGGGCAGTTTTCCGGTTAAATTTGAAACATATATATTTTACTTTTTGTAGAGTGGTAACGCAAAGCTTCTAATTAGCTCAATTTGTAATCAATAGTTCATTAAATTAGCGTAAATAGTGCGGACGCCATGGGCTGGTTTTTTGAGATATCTTATGCAAACAGTGACCTTCCTCTAGTTTTGAAGGTCGAGTATGGCAAGTTTCATAAAGATTGGAATTAAACTGTTAGACTTGTATAAAAGGCAAACAAACAAACACTCATTTTTATACAGAGAGATATAACCGTGTACGATTTACTGTATGTTTTACAAAAAATTATCATTTTCTTCTGCACATGCTCCCGTGATGTATTTGGTATCACAATCACAATTTGGTTAGCAATCAGAAGATTTGTAATTCGAATCCCGACGAGAGTATAACTGATTTCTACCGTTTCTGGCTTTGAAAACCTACAGCCTTAGCTAATCTCTACAGTCTTAGCTAATCTTCCACGTTCATCTCTCCTCAGCACCTCCTTAGTAGTCCTCATCCAGCTGTACAATTGCTAAATTACCGTGTGGAATTAATTTGGCGATTTCTCGCCAAATTACCGAGACATCCATTTACTTAATGTTAAATGCAATTGCCCCTGTATTCTTACTTTTCCGGTATAGCTTTCTGTTAAAATTTGTTTTGCGTTACATTACACAGAAAAATACAACAATTTCACATATAAATGCACTAAAATCATTGACTTATGTACAAAATTCGTAACATTATGTTACATCTTATGTTTTTTTTTTTTTTCCTTAAAAAGGTTTCTAGCAACCATCCTGAGTGACCGTACAGTGTTTTATTCAGCCTTTGCCGCACCTTTTCAACGTTATCTTCGCTTCGACAAGTTGAAGATCAAACCTACTTAGCATCATCTGTCACATCCTGTCGACCATCACAGAATCGACGATAACAAGTTAAAATGCAGGCATTGCAAAAGGCTTCATTGCCGTATAGAATTTTAAACATCTCAAGAATCATCCTAGAGGTTTACTGAGTTTTTATCACCATTAACTGTTTTGCTTTCAAATTCAAGATGAGGCCACAGAATATTACGCTAATTTAAAAGCAAAATATTGCTCCGAAGATTTCATTGATCACATATGATCACATATTTATCTTAATTACCAAGATATATATATTGACATTACAATCATTTATGCAATTATTATTGCATCATTTCGGTTTTTCTTAGTAAATTACCAATAATTAAAGAGAAAAATTAAATTTTAAAATGGTCTTCTCATACGGCCATATTTATCATCTTGTTTGCTAGATACGTCTGTTAAGATATTGTGTTCCACGGAATCCTGGAATCCGTGCAATTCTTTCAGGAATTCTAAAAAGCAAAATCGAAGTTAGAAGGAATTTTTAAATTTAAATCCCATGTGGAACTCGAAGATAAAGGTCTAATATTATTAATTAAATATTATTATTATTACCCTACGCGCTAATGGTAAAATGAATACAGAATGCATTAAAGGAAGTTTTAGATGGCACTGCAAAAATTATAAATTTTGCTAAATTCATAAAATGAAATTCAAAATTATTTACTTTGTGATGCGATAAATTATCCAGCAGTGATAAAATCTTACTTTTATATTCATTAATGCATCAAATGCCTCGAGGAAAACTCGAATCGAATAATATAATACAAGGTTTTAAGAACACAAAGTACATCTTATTAAAATTAATAAAATGAATATATTACTCTTAAAATGTGATTCTCAGATATCAAGGAAATTAGTGTATAGCAACGTCTTGCAGTCTTTTTTCGATCAGTCTGGATTCACTATAGTCCAATTTGAAAATTTCAGTATAAACTAAATTTTAACTGAGTAGTATAAAAATAAATTCTAAAGAATTAGCACACAAAATTATATTTAAAACAATAATGATTGGTTTTTACACTCTATATAGCCAAGTTTCTGACTGTGCATGCAGTTTTAAAGTTATGCGATACGACACATGTTTGTATTTTTTTAGGGTTCCTGTTGAATATATTATTATTTCAATTAATTCTGGTACGTGTTTATGCTCGATCAGTATGCTTTTAGACACTGATAACTATCACTGGAGGAGGCGAGGAGAGGTCTGAGAAGGCATGCTTCGCGTTGACTTTTATTTCGGTTTGGCAACAGTGCGAATATAACCGTCAATATTCAGAATTTTAAGCCTGAAATGTATAAAGGACCCCACTCTGATTGTCGTTCAGTGCAATTACAGCCGCTGTCCTTAATGTGTAAGGTACATAGCATGAAAAATGACTCATGTATGTAAATTTTTGTGTTGAATTAACATCTCTTTATCAGGTTTCAAACTCAGTAAACTCAATTTGAATTCGCATTAGTCTCAAGTTAGTGTATATTCTTCCTTACTCGACGCGTATTCGAGAGATCCAGGGTTCCAGTCCCAGCGAGGGCACTGAACATCTTTTACGCTTTCTGCTTAAAAAAAAAACCCTACTGACTCTACAGTTTAGTACAGAAGCCAATGAATATCAAAATTGTCATGAAAATTTTATGAAACATTTTATAGAAAACTTTACGGAAATGTGAACAATTCGCTATATGCGAAAGCGAAATGTTTATATTTCTAAAAGAGTTTTGAAAACATTGTTAAACTTTTTTACATTCCTTCCTATTACTTAGTGTTGTGGAATCAATTTTATTTATGGTTTTTCTCTGCTTTCTTGAATCAATTCCAGCGTAACTAGAAGCGTTTTGTGTGGGACTTCTTATTCCACTATTTAGAGTTTGCAATATTTTGCTAAATACGGAGAAACCGAAGAGACTAATTTACTGTATTGACGAATTATTTAAACGAAGATTATAAGGTATTTCTCCCGCTTTCTTAGAACGCCCGAACTAAAAAGGAGATAAATGATGATTCTTCACCACTAAAATTTGGCAAATGAACCCCCTAATCCGCAATCGCCAATTAAAACGGGGAGTACATAAGGTATTTCTCCCGCCTTCTTAGTATGCCTTCGTGGGGTAGTGGTCAGCACACTCGGCGAGTATACAAGAGGTCCGTGGTTCTAGTCCCGGAGAGGGCATTGCTCATTTATCGCATCTCCTGCTTTAAAAAAAATACCTAATATCTCTATAAGATTACTAATGCCATTAAGCATTTTAGGAAAAATCACTGAAACTTAATTGTTACATACGTATTGAAACCTTGAACGGCTGAACCAATCAGTGCGAATACTGCACAGAATAGTTCAAAAAAAAAATGGTCAAAGAAAATACGAATCTAAAATTATTCAGAGTTAAAAATGAATTTTTGAATGAATAAATTAAGCAGCAGGTAGAGGCAGACGGGCCTAGCTTTACTGGTGCAGCCAATTTGCATAAAGGTGACGGTCCTGTTTTGAAAATTCACTGTTATTAAGATTCAAGAAGTGCCCGGCATCCTTATTAAGTTCAAATAATAAAAACTTCATCCAAATGCTGGGACAAGAGAAGATCTAAGTGAATAGTCGCTGATTTGTCTATAAACATCGT